AGACCATTGATTCGGAGAAAATGCTTGCTGACGATGTAATTCGACCATCCCTCAGCCCCTACGCGTCCGAAATTGTTATGGTGTTGAAGAAGACTGGTGATTGGCGAATGTGTATCGACTTCCGTCCCCTGAATAGAGCTACCACCGACGACAAGTACGCTCCCCCAAACTATCCGAGATGATCCATTTGATTAAAGATTCTAGATATTTCATTGCACTCGATTTACGCAGCGGTTACTGGCAAATTCCAATGTCCGAATCCTCCATTGAATACGCCGCATTTCGCACCGCCACTGGACCATACGAATTCAAGGTAATGCCGTTTGGTCTCAAGAACGCCGAGCCACCTCCAACGAAGTATGTATGAATTTCCTACTCGACGACCTTCGCTACTCTGGTGTTCTTGTGTACCTGGACCACATACTCATCCACTCCCCGGACATCCCGACCCTCTCAAACTGACGGACAAAGTGTTCCACCGCCTCTCAAGGCCATCAACCTACAGAAGTGTCAATTCCTTCCGTCAACTCTACTATACCTTGGCCATATTATTGAAGACGGAGTTACCACTCCATTCATCTGGTCACTATCGAATTCACCTCAGGGCCGATCGGGCCGTATAACATGCGAATGCGGGTTGTCCACTGCAGTCCAGGTGGCCAGAATACACGGCTTTCACCCGTGCGACCCGGTTTCGAGTCCCGGCTGTGGTTTCGTCAATGAAACTAGTCGATCACTCATCTCACGAAGCGAACAAGCAGGGTGTTAGTCCCTACCTACACCACAGGTCTCACACATTACAGCTTCAGTTCCTTGCCATCACGTCCAAGAGGCTCGTGGGATGTAATGTAAGAACCCGGGTGCAGCGCATGGCCGGGAGCGGGAATCGAACCGTCGCGGGAAAATCGTCACAAACACCGGCGCTCACCCCATGGGTAACGTAGAGGATTGGTTGTTGGCACACATCCGTGCTATCTGCGCGGGTCGTACCAGCACGCCATCGCGAGCTTCCTGACGTTGGGTACGCGTGATGTGGTTGACAGATTTTTCTCGAAGGCCAAGAATCGCACCCGGGTCTTCCGCGTGACAGGCGGAAATACCAGCCACTATGCTATCTCGGACCAGGGCCACCTTGTCCAGTTGACTGGATACCCTTTGTCCCTCTTGCCCTCATGCGTCAACAGTAAGATTCTAGCCCACGCCCTCCCGGACCGCGGCCGAACAGAACTGGCCCATCTGCGAGAA